TCTCCCCAGAGAGGGGAATTAATCAGCCATGGGCTGCGCTTAATTTGGCAGGTGGGGTTCAGATGGACGCAGCAGCGTGTTCACCCTTTATTTCCATCATATTGAGCTGAAAGAAATCCCCCACCAGGTGAAGCTGAGTGATTCTGCAGCCTCTGGGTCTGTGGTGTTTGTAGAAAGGGCAGTTATGCCTCTCAAGTGTCACTTTGTTCTCAGCAGGACTCTAGGTCTGGATTTTAATTTTGGGATACCCAAGTTCAGGGTAGCATTGGACCATCTGCATGTCAACAGTGCCTATGCTGTTTTCCAGTGTGACTGTGTATGTGAGAGATTTAGCTGGGGAACTGGAGTAGGAAAATTTCCCATGGAAGATATCTTGTGTTCTAGCAAAATAACAAATCCTGTTCCATCATTGCAGTGGTATTCAGATGCCCGTTACACTATAACTTCTTATATTAACTAAGATGTTTATGTACTCAGGATATTAATGTGGATTTATTGGTTACACAATCACTGTTTTCCAACAGAATTTCAGTAGTGACTTGTTCCAGAAGATTGCTGAAAAAGGGGAACCTGAAGGGAACTGTGTGGAGTATCAGTACAGTCCATGTGCAGGATTGGCTTGAGCAGTGTCTGGTCATGTGGTTGAGCAAGAAGTGGGAAATATTAGCATGAAATTTTTAGGTCAGTTACAGATAGGGAAATCCTGTGTGAGGGTTCTTACAGGGATCTGTCTTTGAGTTGGATAACAGTTTTGAAAAAGAAAGTGAGAAGGGCAGAAGGAAACTGGGGCAGGGGAATATAACCCAATACAATATGAAATTATAGAATCGTAGAATGGTTTGGGTTGGAAGGGACCTTAAAGATCATCTACTTCCACCCCCCTGCCATGGGCAGGGCCACCTTCCACTAACCCAGGTTGCCCAAAGCCCCGTTCCAACCTGGCCTTGAACCCTTCCAGGGAGGGGGCAGCCACAGCTTCTTTGGGCAACCTGTGCCAGGGTCTCACCACCCTCACAGGGAAGAATTTCTTCTTTATATCTAATCTAAATCTTCCCTCTTTCAGTTTAAAACCAATACCCCTCGTCCTGTCAGTACATGCCCCTGTAAAAAGCCCCTCTCCAGCTTTCTTGTAGGCTCCCTTAATGTGTCATATTATGTCATGCTATTAGGTAGAGAATGCGAGTCACAGCTAGAAACAGTCCATATCCTTGAGTCATACAATCAGAATTAGTGCTGATTGTTTAGGGAACAAATGCTTCCGTGTAGGGTACCGTGTCTTGTGGTCACCATCTCATGCAGTTCGTGGACAGGATTTGCATTCTCTTTCTTGTGCCTTGCATGGTTCATGCTGCATGAACTTGGTTAGCAGTGGTGTTTGACTGGAAAGGACAAATGATACTTGTTTAAAAGACACGGTATTTCCAGTGGCTCACAACTGTACCTCTGAATCTTTCAAACACCCCTTTCCAGTCTGTTCAGAGACATAAGTGGTCAGTTAGAAGAATTTAACTGCACACTGACTTGTATGACTTGTATTTATTCTTGTTTGTGAAGTATCTGAATTAGTTGATCAGTAAGAGCTCTGTTATGTAGGGAAGGTATGACCAGGTTAGAGATGTGATAAAATGTTGGGAAACTGATGTTCCTGCTCTTTGTTTGTCTAACTCTTCATTTGATACCTTTTAAGCAGCAAAACCTTTGAATGGATATTCTGCTGTATCTGAAATTCAAAGCTTACTTGCTAGTTTCTCTGCTAGAAATTGTACTTGGCACTTTTAGTTATGCCATACCAAGTGCTGGGGCTGAGAAGCTGTGATGGTTTCTAGCTGGTCCCCCCTCCCTGGTGGCAGTTGTGCAGGCGCAGAGTCCTCCGGTTCCAGTGTGTACTTCCTGCTCCCCTCTGCCCTGTGACGCTAGCGTGTCTGTGCCACACTTGTGCAGAAGAGAGGTCGTGCTCCAGAGATTTTAATGAGGGTTATAAAGTTCTGGTGGAGATGGACCTTGTTATTCTCAAAGTGAGAACTGCCCCTGTTTACACCTTAACAAGCAGAAGCTTTCTTATAGGATGGTTTCTTATAACTTTGAGTAGAGAAAATACTTCAAAACATGTCAAATTGCAAGAGCAGGAGTTCCTGTATATTGGGAGCAGGAAGAAAAAGGGAAGAGGTTGGGCAGTGGTGTTGGATAAAGAAGTTGCTTTGTGAACTGTGTTTCATGCAACAGATTGTAGTGACTCACTTCCTATCTCTGAAATCGGGATATCAATCTAACTGATAAGTAAAAGGTTCCTGTGTTTGGAGTGCTCAGTGTTAGTAAGGCAAGCTGTATAAATACATAAGGTATATTTTAGCTACTAATTCTTAAAACTAAGTTATGACTTTGACAAGCAGGTTAATGCAAACAAATCTTCTGTCTCTGCTCAACAGATGCCATGTTGCCTCAGAAGAGGGGACGAATACCTTCCAGAATAGCCATGAGCTGTTATTGGAAAGTCCTGGCAATTTTCTCACTATCTCTTCCAAGTGCACTGTCTTTCCAGCCAGCCCAGCCCAGAGTGTTACTAGTATCTTTCGATGGATTTCGATGGGATTACATTTATAAAGTCTCAACTCCCAATTTTCATGATGCCATGGAGAATGGTGTGCATGTGAAACAGGTCACTAATGTGTTTGTAACAAAAACCTATCCTAATCATTATACAATGGTGACTGGCCTCTATGCAGAAAGCCACGGTATAGTTGCTAATGAGATGCATGATCCTATTCTGAATGAAACTTTCTCTCTGAACAAAATGGATGTCTATAACTCCAAGTTCTGGGAAGAAGCCAGCCCAATATGGGTAACGAACCAGAGGGAAGGACATAAAACCGGTGCAGCTATGTGGCCTGGAACAGATGTGAAAATACATGGAGTCTTTCCTACATATTTTATGCCCTACAATGAATCTGTTTCCTTTGAAGATAGAGTTGCAAGGCTTATTCACTGGTTTACATCAGAAGAACCCATAAACTTTGGTCTCCTATATTGGGAACAGCCTGATGAGATGGGCCATATTCTGGGCCCAGAAAACCCACTAATGGGACCAATAATTAGTGATATTGACAAAAAGCTGGGGTATCTTATGTCTGAACTGAAGAAGGCAAAGCTGTGGGATGTGATAAATGTCATAATCACAAGTGATCATGGAATGTCACAGTCTTCCTCGGAAAGGCTCATTGAGCTTGATCAGTACTTGAACAGAGAGCTCTATAAAGTCATTGACCATTCTCCTGCAGTAGCTATTTTGCCAAAAGAAGGTAGGAGCTATAGTAGTAAAATTCTCTGAATAAAATACTTGAGTATCTAAACTTTATAGGCTTTGTTCTTTAACTGAAGTAGTGGTAGCAGCCCTGATGCCAGTAGGACGTCAGCCTCGAACAAGGAGTACTTGCAAGATCACTTCTTTGTTCTTTTTGCTAGCTCTGTCAAAAGCCTGGATTAACTTTCTGAAATGAAAAGTGAACAAATCTGTCTATTGACTAATATTGACAAAATCCTTTAGTCTTAATGAGAGGTAAGATAATCTAATGGCATTATCAAGGATGAATGGTGTTCTAGATAGATAACAACTGCATGTTAGATATCTCACCTTTCATCAAGATGATAAAGCCATAGTGGAAGAATTAGATTTCTAATTCAAACAGTAAACTGAGACCAGATCGGTACCTTTGATAAAAAGAAAGCCTGTGCTGGCTATTTGATTAGCTGCCAGCTATTGTAGTTCACTTGAGTTTTCTTCCCCCATCACGCTGAACAGCCAGCCAGTTATATTCCTACCATTTTTATTGAGCTAATGCTGGGCAGGAATACTGTTGGAATTGAAATCTGAAGTCTGGTTGCAGTCATTGAAGGGTTGCTGAAGTGTCATGTGTATGTTTAGTGTCATTGATGTAGAGATGCTGCTTTTTGTTTTGATGATCAAAACTTGTAACTTTGGTGCCAATGTGTTAACCTGCATAATGGCATTTTCTGTGTGGGCAGGGATGCTAATTTGGAAGTTTGAGTTTTTAGGTGGCCTTCTGAAAAATGTGGTTTTTAAGATTCCTGTAGCAGTTGCTTCACTAATGGATAGCACTCTGTATTTTATGCCGCAGCAGGGAGGGTATTTTGCACACTTAATTGGCCTTCAAATGTGTAAACAAATGTCTCTTGTCATTTTTAGTTTGAAGAATGCTCTAGACTAAAATGTTAGGACGTCTGCTGCATGAGTGGTGGTAGAAGAGCTGAGTTTGGGAGCCCCATTCTAATGAAGGCAAACATGGTTGACCAGGATGTTCTCATTACCAAATAAAGGAGTTGTAAAAGTAAACTTTAGTGCTGAAACATCCCTAATGCGTTAAATGAGAATCTGAAGATGTGTAACCTGATTCTCCTGTCTGCTAAATGCTGAAAAGAAATAGCGTCTCTGCAGCAATTAGGTGACAGAATTGTAAAAAGCCATTTCAATGGATTTCAGAAATAGCTTGGATTTGGTTTTGCCCAGAGGTTCAGATATTTATTACGCTATCAATAAACAAGAATTAGTTTAGCACAGCTAAAATTCCTTCCATGTTGCCAACTGTAAATATTATTATAAAACAATGAGCTTCATTCTCAGTTTAGCTATGGAATAACATACACTTAAGTACTTAAGACTGATTTTTTTGACAGGTATTCCGTTTGTCTTGTTTAAACTAAGGGAATGGTAAAACTTAGTGAGACATTGAGAAAAAATTTGAATGCTTAAAAACGCAGCGATTTCTGCTGCTTTAACTGTTTGGCTGCATATTTCTTCCCCAGGGGATGGATTAAAGGCATTACTTAACCACCCTACAGGTACCATCTTCAATGTTCCTGAAGATGGTACCTGTAGTGCAGCTGGTGATGCTGGCCTTTTCCTTGCATTTAATATAAATATATTAACTCAAATAATTTAGTGTTAAATCATAGTTCGTTGTATTTGGGGCTTCTCCCCCCTGTTGTCCGATGTAGAAAAGTGGCATAACAAAATTAATTTTATTACTAATACAGTCCTAGAAATGCTGAGTTTTCTTGTTGCTGTCACTATCGTATCTGGACTTTTGCTGTCTCATCTTGACCTTTATTGTGTTTATTAAATTTAATGATTATTTTTGATGCTATTCTTTTGAGATAAGAAATGTTATACATTAATCTATTTCCAGTTTTCCTCCAGAATTTCTATACTGGGTCGTAGGAACTTGGGGGGAAAGCAAAGATGGTTTCTTTAAAGACATTGGGCACCTCCTCCCAAACTTTTGTTTTCCTGATATAGATTTAAAACTCTACACATGCTGCAAATAGTAGACAGGATTTTAATCCTTGGTTTGCTTCAGGTGGTGTCTCGGGTAAACTAAGTCCTTGTTCGTGTGGTCATGAAGACAATCATTTCTTGGGATGGGCGGTCGGAGAAGAGCTCACTCACAGGCACACCCGCTGCAGGATGGAGCTAGCTGTGAAGGCAGAACTAGTGACAGATGATGCCAAAATGACAGGATATGCTTAAATCCCGCTCATCTGCTAAAAAATGACAGTATTGGCCACAAAGAAAATGTAAACATCTTCCAACCATGCTTCAGACCTTGTAGCACTGAAACTGGGCTGCAGAGAGTAGCTGTGAATTCAGCTGTCTGACTGAATTGTGCTTGTGTGTAGCACAAAGTACTGAAGTCATGAAGCTGTTATTTGGTGTGTGACAGAAGTCTGTTATACACATTGCATAGCCCTCAACAGGAATCTGTGCTTAAATGGAGGGGGAGGTTGAAGGAACTTGTTCAGATGTCGATTTCTGAACTTGCTTTTGTGTCCCTGTCTGTGTGTCTTGGTTCCTCCTTTCTGTGTGCTGGTTTTCCAGCTTGTCCAGCTGCTTTGTGGCTGTTCAGTGACTTTTACTGGAAAGAAAAATTCAGAAACTGGAAATAAGCAAATAAAGAATTTGGGGTGGAAAACAATTATTTATTTGGTAGTGTTGGTACAGGTCTCAAGGGTTTACACTCACTATGCTGTAGCTGACTAGGGAAGGGAAATGAGTAGACTCTCAGAATAGAAAGGAGTGTGTAGTACTGTTAGCTGCTACTGAATACACAGAGTGGCTGAGAGTGCTGGACCCCAAGTGCCACCTTCACCTGCCAGTCCACCCTGTCCCTTGGTTCACTTGTCGTGTGTTCCCTGCTGAGGTCTTTGTACAGCAACTAAAGGGTTAGTGGCATCTGGGCTGTGACCTGAAGGCTTCCCTTGAAAGATTAATGCAAACTAGTTTTGCTTATAACTAGGCAATTAATTGCTAAAGCTATGATATTACATGGTACATAGCAACAAACTGGCTACTCCTTCTAAATTGGCTAAACTTGTCATCAGCATGGTAGAGGATCAAAACTGGGACTCAAATGTCAAAGCTGGGAAGTCAAATGTGGAGCTCTTTATTGGAGCATCTTGTAGAAGAGAAATAAACAGTTGGGTTCACACAGAAAAAGGTTTTCAGAGATGACAAGTAACAAAGTGGCTTCTCTCTTTGGCCTTTTGAAGGAAAGCAACTAACAATTAAACTGCTTTAAAATAAATGTGTTGCTTGTCGTCATAGCCAGCTGGGAGAAAGACAGAATATGGCCTTAATGCTTACATTACCTCATAAACAGCTTTAGGAGCTGTCTTCTTGCACGGAGCTAGGAGGAGCTGGTTTCTTTTCCGTGAGACTTAACTAAATACCTTTGAACTCATTCTTGTAAGAAGCTTACCTTCTGATAACTGAAATGAGGGATTTTTCTAAAATTAGCAAGGTGCTTATTGCTTAGGAATAGTCTGTGAAGTCTGATGCCAGGTGTGATCTTACTGTGAATGAAGCTCTGGATTTCTCACAGTAACTTCTGTGCACATTGTAATCTGCTGTTGCCTCTTACAGCTATAATGAGCTTTTGGGGAAGTTCATTTTGCCCTCTTTCAGTTGTATTTAACTACTGATGAGTTCAGTATTGGTATGTTTAAGTTTTGTCTTTTGTTTCTTTTGTTTGTTTGAAGGCAAACTGGATGAAGTATATGAAGCTTTGGCCAATGCTCACCCCAACATGACTGTGTATAAAAAGGAGCAGATTCCAGATAGATTACATTACAAACACAACAGTAGAATTCAGCCCATCTTAGCAGTGGCTGATAAAGGATGGGAAATCGTATATAATAGATCTGACAGTTTTCAATGTAAGTATTCTGTTTTGCTGTATCTTCCTAGTCAGAAACTTTACACTTTCCCAATCTCAACTAATGTTAATTTTTATTTTATTTTTGGTAAGACTGGGAGGGGGAACTGAAGATAAGTGTGTAGAATTTATAATTTTTTTTTGTGATGGAATGGGAATCACACTCTACTGTTAGGGGAGGGGGAACTGGACTTACCATTTTTCAGTGTTTAATTTTTCGATAAGATCACTCACATGTTTTACTGGCCACATACTTGAGGTCTGCTTGAGAGGTCTAGCAAACTGTTAAGCACTTCCTGAGAGATTAAAAAAAAAAAAAAAAGTTGTAACGGAACGTGTTGAGTAAGAGGATGAATAGTGGTGTTTTATCATGTACTATTTCTTTACTGGAGAAGGGTTGGGTTGGAAATACCAGAATGCTTTTGGAAAATCCTCAGCTTGTGTGGATGCTCTATTGCTAGAAAGTCTTTCAGTATTGTGTTACTGTACACCACTGATTTTTTGCTTGCCCAGTAAGATAAGATGCATTTTAGGTGATTTGGAGGAAAAAAGCACCCACTTTTAAGTTCCTCACCATGGGGTTTTGAGATTTATTGTAGGTAGAATGGAGATAATAAACTGTAACTTTTGGTTAGCTAGGAGGTGTCTCTCATATATATATATATAAAATATATATATGTCCTATGGTTAGTTCTTAAGCTTAATTTTAAACCTTTTAAACTTTCCTGCTGGTTTTGAAGCTGAAGAGCATTACCTGCAAGACCTAACAAGTTTTTTGATTGTTGATAGCTGATGAGAGCAGCTTTTTTTGCCTGAGTGTTTTATTTCCTTGTTCAGAGTTTTTAGTGCACCTATAAGAAGGGGCACTGGTGTCCCACTAGTGAGATCTGCAGTCTTTTTCCTTGTTGATGAGTAGATAGTGCACAAAATTGAACAAAGTGTCAAATCAGTCAGGGCTTAAGTTCTGTCTGCTACTAAGAATCAAACAGACAGTCTATGTCTACTTGAATTTTTGATTTTTCCCTAAGAGATCTGGTCCAGTTGCAAAGTTGGAGTTTTTTCTTGAGGAAAACCAAGGATATATTGACAGTGCTGTTACTGCCATGTGAGCTTACCCTTTGTTTTTTTCCTTTTTTTTTTTCTTTTTTTTTTTTTTCTTTTCCTTTTTTTTCCTTTCCATTCTTTTTTAAGACATCTTCTCTTTGTAGTTCTGGGACTTGGTATTTGTTAGGAGATATTTGTGATGTTGATCAAAATGAGTCTTATAAACCTCTGCAAGAATAAATGTTGGCTGTTCTTCTTCTGCATTATGCTATTTTTAAGAAAAGGTTCATTGCTTGTTTTGGAACTTCAGAATATTGACCTTTATTTATCTTTTATTTCTAGTTGGTAATCATGGATATGACAACATCTTACCAGAAATGCATCCGATTTTTTTGGCAGTTGGGCCTGCTTTCAGAAAGAATGTCACCAAAGAAGTCATGAATGCTACTGACTTGTACCCCTTATTGTGCCACCTACTTGGTATTAACCCACTGCCCAACAATGGTTCATTCAATGCTGTGAAAGATATACTTGCTGAAGAATTTCCTGTAGCCTTGGGAGGAGACACCTATGCTACTGTTATAGGAGTCTTTTTGGGTAGCTTTCTTGTTATGGTTTTTACTGCAGTTTTTCTTAAGCATTTTGTCCTTACCCATGCAAATACCATGCAAATGCAACATACTGAAGCTGCCCAGCCACTTTTGCAAGATTAATAACAAGTAATTATTAATAGTACCAAGCTACTATTTCCCATTTAAAATAAGATTATACAAAAAAAATTAATAGAGATGGATCAGCATAAATATTTGGAGTAAAAGGAAACAGATGCTGATCCGCTGGTACACTGAAGTACATACATGCTAGGTGTGCAGAGAAAGAGCATGTTTCTGTTTCACACTACAACCCCTTAATCTTTCAGGGGTTGAAAATAACATCAACTGAGGTACACTTCACAGACTATTACACGGTAATTTAATTTTCCACACCCTCTTTTTTTCTCACTGAGAGGTTTTTTAAGTCTCTTAGATTCTAACAACTTGCTGAATGTGACTGGACTTCTTTAGGTTTTTTTCTTTCCTGCCCAAAGAATCTTTTGCATAGATTACCATTACAGATAGCCTGGTGGATTAAATCCTGGGGAAGACAACATTATTATTAAGCTAGGCCATGCAGTGCTAAGTGTCTGAGTTTAGAGTTAGGCATATTTATTTAAAGTATTATGTCAATTGTAGCCCCAAAATATTAATCTAACTAGTAGTGACTTTAGGAATCAGCATTAAACTACTTGGGGCTTTTTAAAATTATTTAGGTAAATATAGGTCTTTATGATTTTAGGTAAATGTAGGTCTTTTTCTGTTGTTTCCTGTACACTGGAAATTTTCTAGTAATTCCATGCAGCTGGCAGTTTAAAGACACATACAAGCACAACACCTGTATATCCAAATGGAGTCTCTCATATTTCTGTGATAAAAGGGTTCTTTCAGAATAAGACAGATCAATCAGCTAAGAAACATGCATTTACAAGCTGGTTTCAGAGTGCTGTCAAGCTTGTCACTGGGTGTAACATCTGATCCATTACTGGAGACTCTTCTCTAGCGTGAGTTTGGCTTGCTGGCTTGTGTTCTGTCTGATATGTCTGGGTGGACCTTAGAATTTGATGAGTAGGATTAGACATGCAATTTAAGGAACAGCCAGATAAATCTTAAGCCATATATACACTTAAATCTGAAAAAGCACACTTGAATATGAGAAAAGGTATAAGTCTAGAGTTTGTTCTTCCAGAGGAAAGACTCTGTCAGGGAAAATTATTAATTTTGAGTCAATAAAACTATATATTACTTTGATTCTTTTGTGTGGGGCAATAAATCTTACTATTACTGTAGTTATGGTTTTTTTGATGAGCTCACTTAAATGGTAGGGGAGCAGCTTCTCACTGAGGTTTGTATGAAAAATGTGGTGTGACATGAGAAAAGTTGTCTCATTGTCAGACTTGCTTAAAAACTGATTTTGTTTTTCCCCTCCCTGTGTGAGTTAGTGTTTCTCTGCACTTTGCTTCTGAGTACAATGCCTGAAGGAGAAAGAAACTCTTTTAAAATTCAAATGAATAGTCTGATATTTCTCTTAAGTGCAATTTATTGCTTTATCCACAGCACCCAACAGAGGGCAAAGATGGTAACGTCTTGGCCTTGGATGTGCTCTGTCAAACTAATGGTGTGACTAACGGTGTAACCCTGAAGTTGGGAGGGCTGCGGGCAGACCCTGCAAGGAGCTGCACAAGCTGACTAACTGAAGTACAAAACTCATTTTGCTGAACTTAATTTCAGACTTAATGAATGATATCATGACGAGTTCAGAAGTGAGCTTACTACTCGCTGCCTCGGTGATGACTCTGCAGTGCCATGTTACAAACTGGTGCTCGCTGGTCAGAGGTAATCCGTTAGGTAATCCGTTAGGCTCCTCGTGGTGGCAGGGACACTTGTTTAGCATTAAGATGTCTTACAAACAGATGTGGGAAGTTTCCAGAGACCACAGCTAGGTGCTGTGAATGCTTGAGAGGGAAGGCAATAAAATAGCCCAATTTAAAATATATACTGAAAGTCTAGATGTAATAATAGCTTTAGGCAGGCAGGAAACTAGCAGATCTGTTGGGGGACAGCCCCTTAATTTGGGGGATATGTATGAAGTCGTGTTACTTAATCTGATTCATTTTTGCCTTTCTGTTGTTACTGTTCTGTGTACCGCCTTGTCCTCCACTGCTGTTTTCTTAAGAAAAATTGAAGGAAGACATCTGGGTTAGGTGTGCCTGACACTGTAAAGCTGATTCTTAGTGGAGCTGACCATTAGGTATGTCTTAATTTTCATTTGCTGATGCCAGCTAAAACTGATCCTACAGGGATCCTTTTCAAGCTGAAAGATGAAAGCAGCAAAGATGTTCACAGTAGTTTCTAGAGAGGCTGGGGAAGTCCAAATAGAAAACCTAAACCTCTACATGGTTACTAATCACTTCCCTAGCTGCCTTCCAGAAGGCAGATGTCAGGTAGCAAATTGATACATAGAGTCCCCCTTTTCTTGCTTATTTGCAACTTAAAACCAAATTGTAGCACAAATGTAGTGTGTTTAAAGAGAGATCTACAGTGAAAGATCTCAAGGGAATAACAGTGAAAATTGGAGATGCTATAATGCTCACCTGTAGCTACTTCAGTTACGTACTTTCTCACTTTAGAACATGCTGCTGTAATAGAAATTATTCCAACTGCAGTAATTTCATAGTAGTGTTTATGGCAGATGTAAAAATAACTGGATTATAATCTCAGAGGTGTTCATTAAACTCCCACTTTTTAAATTGTGACAGTTCTATCATCAGCCAAAGTGACCTTTGATTTTAAGGAGGGGGCAGAGCTGGTCAGGGTTGTTCAGTCACCCTGGGATTTAGGCTTACCTGCCCAGACATGCAACAAGGGAAGAGCAGGAGGTTTCCCCTAACAAAGGGTTTAAGAACAGTAATGTTCAAAATAGATTTGGAACACCAGCATGATGTTATTGTTCTGCATTGCACTGTAAGGCCCTTCTTTGAGGAGGGTAAAATGAAACTTTGTAGAAAACTGAAGGGAATCTTTCAGCGTAGGTTTAAACATGTTTCCTTTATTGCCTAGGTGTATTTACAGGTACCTCTTGGGCAGCTACCTTGTTAGGATATTTGCTGAGCCAGTGCTAAACGTTGTTTTCAGTTGTTGGGTGTATACTTAATGAACCTGAAAGCACATATGATGCCACTGGAGAAAGACATCAACTTTTTCTCTGAAGTGATGTGAGATTTTTTTTTTTTTTTCAGACTACTTTTTTGGTTGGGGAGGATGTGGTATTGGTTTCTGTGTATATGATACTTTTTATGATGTACAAACAAGTTTAAGGACAGTGGATTTGAGTTACTGTGTAGTATTTGTAACTTAAGCTTGGAAACTGAGAAGCTTGCTTGATTTTGTCTTTCATTGTTGACCTGTGAATCACACTTTAAGATGTCAAATGTTTTGTTTCTTCCTGTTTGGAAATGTTGAAGTTGAAATATATCTTTGCTATTGAGCATCCAGTGCTTGCTTCATTTAAAAACACTCCTGCAAAAAAAGAATTGTGGAGGGATGGCTGGGGGAGAATGGCCTTAACTCATATGCATCCCAAATATTTCTTCTACTCTTCATAGTGTATGCCTTTATCATACTTCCAGTTTTTTTTAATAGAATTTAAGAATTCTAAGTCAAAGTTCTTTTATATAAAAGACTTCTTGTTTCCCACCTCTCCACTGTATATGGAAAAAACAGCTATCTGTTACCAACAATGGTAATGCAGTTTCTTTAATCAAAAAAAATCTTCTGGGCTTTCTTGATAAAGAGCTGCAGTAATGCTGTTTACAATAAATGCAGTCTCAGAGAAAAAAAAAAAGGTGCAAAAATGCCTATTATAAGATGAAGGGTTGTTCAGTGTGACTTTTCAGAAGTGTGGAACAACACAATCTTGAGCTGTGTGTGGGAAGAACAACAAACATGCAGTTGTTGAGTCCTGCTGTTTTGTAAAATGCAAATAGGACGGGCTTACTTCCAAATTTTCTTCCCTGCTTAAATAATGGCCATGGATGCTGTCTTGACCATACATACCTATGCTGCTGTACCTACCTTCCACCAAAGGGCATGTTTGTACTACAGTAAAGGTAATGGAAGCATTTATTAGACTGCAAAAGTTGTTGCAAGCACATGGAAAGGGTGAGTTTGGTAGTGGTATCTGCAGCACTGTAACTCGACAGCCTTTCCATAATCAAATCCTAATCTGAATCATTTCAAATTAACAACTCCCTATTACCGTATTTTTGCAATAAAAGGTGGTACTGTACACGTTAAAGCAAACATCTGTCCCTGTGCTCTGATCATTGGAGATACATGATGTTGTTGGTTTATTTTCATAGGCAGTACGTTCTTTTTAATTTGTAGCAAGTTAAACTTTCCCAGAACAAGTGTTTTGGACCTATAGGTAGTTGAAATCAATTCTGGAACTGTTTCCTTGGTGCTAATGGACAAAAAGCATATAAACCCAGAGGGGTGGATGTTTTAAGGCTTCTCTACCCAGCGCTGAGTTCCTTTGTGGAGGCTGTCAGAACAGTGAAACATCAGTCTTTACTGCTGCGAAGTGATGTTACAAACTTCCCCAATTCCCTTCTAAATGTCAATGCTAGTTTAAGTGTTAAGAACTTCCCCTACATTAATGTGTCCTGTATGGACAGAGTTGTTAAAAATTTAGCAAGTCATTAAATGTTGCCACAAAACTGTTGCAGGATGTCTCCTTTATCACAGCTTTGAGAAAAGGGGAAGCCACAGCTTCTCCTGTTCTTGTTTTGAATTGGCTCTTCACAAGGAAATCAGCTGCTGACTTCAACAAGCAATACTTCAAATTGTAATTTGGTAATAGAAATACTTCATCATGCTTAAGGCACTAAGACTTTTAAAAATAATCATCTTTAAATATATCAACTTTGTCTCCAAGGAGAAAGAGGTGTTTTTCTATATTCTTTCGAAATCCTGGATGTATAAGAGCCACTTTGAAACCTTTCCTGCCACCAGCAAATTGCACCAGGAAAAATACTCATCATTCTTACAGACCATACTGCATCTTTGGAATTGAAAACAATTGACAATGCAACATGAATATAGTTTATTTCTTGATTAATACTTAAACTTTTTCTTTAAACCCTTTCCACAATAGCATTGTTCAGTCTCAAAGCTAAAGGGGGGTAGAGGGTAAGAGGGGTTTCTGGCAGATACTACCACTCTGGTTTTGTAGGAGCTCAGCTGCCTGTAGCAGTTCTCACCAGAACAGAAGACCTAGAGCTAGGATGAGAAATGCTTTTAGACCTTGATTTCTCCATCTGTAACAACACTCACATTTCAGGTTAGAGTGCTGCCATTGCACTTCAGTCAACATTTACATTCCTGGTAATTAAAGTCTTGGTGGTAACCTTGACACCTGGCCTATGATGGCAATGCACAGAGGAACTGCAAGCACATCAGTCACACACTGTATGACAACTATTTGGGAGAAGGAGGAGAAAGGGAAGAATAGAGTGGAGCATCTACTGTGCTAATCAGTTCTAGCATCTAGTAGAAGACCCTCAGAGGCACAGTACAGTTTGGTCCTACCAAGTCTGCCAGAAAGGTAAAGATAGCTGAGTCAAGCCTTTCCATATGGAGAGGATGCAAAGCACCTCTGAGGATGGCAGCCTCCATTAGCAAAATTACAAGAACTCAATAAATACCTCTCTCTGATGTAGGAATGGAAGCATCCTCCCTTTTACAACATCTCTAAGCCTGCGTTCTACCCTGCAACTTCATAGTTACCCATTAACTTGACATCTTACTGTATGTAATTAATTTAGAACTTCCAGCAGGATGAGAAAGTGACTCCTGTATTCAGTCCAGTTGCTGCTCTATTATCTCAACAGTCTAAAATCCAGTACATTATCAGTAACTGTCTACAGATTTCTGAAGGGGTCTGAGCCTCTTTTAACTTGATTAATCCCAAGTAAAGCATTAGTAAGTAGAAAATAGCAGATTAAGAAGGGGGTAAAAAAACAGCAGAACAGGTTAGGTTTTGTATTTTTTTTTTCTTTTAATCAGTACAACAGAATCTTCAGGGAGGAAGACACAGTTTAGTAGAACTTTCACACATTTTTAAAACTCAAATGTGTTTTTCTCAGTGGGCAGTCAAAAGTAACCGTTCCCTCCAAAGCCTGTACTTCCTCCCAGTTGCATCACTAAAAGGTACCCTGTGGCTAATACCAATTTGCATTGAATTTGAGCTTGTGAAGAAGAAACCATGTTGCATGCCGTACCTCAGTGCTCTCACTTCAAATTACCGCTTCTTGAAACCATCAGACTAGGAAAAGGACTTGGTACCTATTCTTCTCTTTTTGGGTTAGCATTAATGATTTAACCTCACATACTCTCCTCACTAAAAGATAAGGTACTACTAAGGTTTTTGAAAACAATTTTTTTCTGGCAAGTTACTAGACTTGACCGTTAAACAGGGAATGAAGAGTTTCAATTAAGAGAAACATTAGCACTGGTTTTCACTAGAACTTCACATCTATACTACTTAGCCACTACAGATATCAAATCTTATCTCAACAAAGACATTAATGTTTCTCCTTTTAAATTTCCAAGGTTTAAAATAAGGGTTTAGAATCCTTGCTTGATGACTGCATGTCAGACTTGCAGTTGTTGCTTTTTAACACAGGGCAGCCTTCAAGATGTAATTATCAGCTGGTACACAGGGTAGAACCACCTCTATTACAAAACCACCTTTGAGCAGAGTTTACACCTAAAAAATTGTCAGAGTTTAGAAGCAATAGTTTAACTACTACAGCCCGCAAAACTGGGTAATCCAAAGATTTGCAAATTAAATTGACATCCTTTAGATAAGCAAGTAGTACCATCCCAGCTCTGAGTGCAGAAACTGGAACAAACTCAATTCGCAGATACACATCTAGAAATGTCAGAGCCATCTGCCCAGTGTTATGACTGCTAAACCACAGACTTTATTGCTCAAAATAGAAGTGATATGCACCAATTCTTTCCTTACTCATGTTGGTTCTCCTTCTCACCAGTTTCTTCTCATACTGCTGGCTTAGGATGGAAACAGAAGTATTGGATTTTCTCTACACTCCCTATCCCCAAATTTAAGAACAAATCAGAATATATGGTCCAAACAGAACTAACTTCTAACTCTCAAAAACCCATTTTCTTTCCAGTACAGGTACAAGAACACTAAAAGAAGTCCAGATTAATTTAAATTTAATACAAAAAACCAATTATCGTTTAAAAATGTTAAAATTCACTTAGTCTATCCTGGCTAGTTCATACTCTGGAATTTCATTTTGAAAGTGTTCACAGGCTTGAACGAAAAACTAAGCATCCTTATTTTGTTAAGCATCTTTTCCAGCAGAAAGCCACCTGTTCACCAGTTTATTCTAAAAAGATTTTACAGGACTGCTAGTCAGGTAGCACACACAAACAAATTAGCAAGATCTGGCTGTACAGTATTTTATACGGATGCCATTAAAGTGCATCAAAGAATGCCGTCCAGTGCAAGTTCAAACTCTTCCTGAAATCACTGTTTAGCAAGCGAGGCTCCCTACACGCTATCCGATTAAAGGGTCGTCATCATCGTATCGTAACTGAAGTCGGGAAAATGGCCGTGGAGGAGCTACTCTATTCTTTGAGATTATTATTATGCAGGTGAAAGTAGTCAGAATCATAAAAGCCCCAATAACTATCCCAATAGCTTCTGCTAGATTTATGCACCACTGGTCGGTGAGCAAGCACTTGGTGTTACTGAAGGTGCCGTTGTGGGGCTGTGGGGTCAGTCCCAGGATGTGGCACATCATGGGGTAAATATCAACGTTGTTCATTGTGCTCTGCTTGTAACCCCGATGAAAAGCAGGCCCCCGAGCAGCCAGGAATGGATGCATGCTTGGGAGAGCGTTGTCATAGCCATGGTCACCTACTGGAGAACAGCAAAGAGTTAACATCACAGTTTCTGTTTGCACACCGAGTATTCCCCTCCCTCTCTCTCCCCCACCCCCAAAAGACATACATTTTAACCAAAGGCTAATACAGAGCATCAAGGCAGCTGTTGGTTCAAACGCTGAAGGAACCCAGAGTTCCTTCCCTCTTCCCAATCCCCAGAAGTCTTCTCCCGTGCTGGTCTTCAGCCATGGTGTGTGTTGTGTTCGTAGCCCCCACGCCCCGCTCTCTCTTTTCCTCTCAGTCATCAACATCCAAAGTTTTACCCTTCCCAAAAGCTGAAAAGGATGTTGCCACTCCACAAGAAGTCAGTAGTCAGAATGCAAATGTGTACTTCTCAGGATTTGGAAAGACATCTACCCCTTGCAAAGCAGACACTTAAATTGCTTCTTAAAAGCCAAGCACCTTTTCCCTTGATACTGTTTGGTTCAAGCATACAAAGTGCCCTCAGATCATGGTTATCAGATTAGGCACTTCAGGAGAAGGGATAACCCAAACAGTCAAAACCAAAAAACAGTCAAAGGATCAGGATGCCTGTGAGAGGCATACAGCAAAATGTTTGAGGCTATAAGGTCACCAGTATGTGGACATTTGGTAGGTTTTTAGGAAATATAATTTTGGGTGGAATATAAACAGCTAAAAAGCTGACAGTCAAATTTTCTAATAAGATGCCTGAAAAGTCTGTCCAAGATGCCAAAAATTTCTCGTGGCCCACCCAGCAGAGTATTTGAGTGACTGCATTTAAGTTTTTAGTAACAGTTAAACGAGTCTCCCCAAGAACTGTCTCCTTGGCTGCTTCACTGAAGTTTTTGATGTAAAATGTCAAGATTCCTATTGATTAGGTCACACTCACCACTTCAGTATACTTCCAATACTCCTTTTTAATGTTCTTCACCATTATGTTTGTTACCACAAAGATACTACTGCACCACATCTTGCTTGTTTGTTTCAATGCAGTCCTATGTGTTTGGTTACATTTTTTTCCCCTTCTGCTACTTGCTTGTTTTGAACAGAGCTGTTCCAAGTCCCCACTCCAATGAAGTTTCCCATTTTTCACCTTTGAAGTACGAGGGCTGGTGTGTGCTAACATTGCTAAGAATAGTGTAGCTATTGGGACACTTGCCAGTCATTATGCTGCCACTTTGCCCATGAAGACAAGTACAATAAACACTGAAATAGCCTTTTAAGCTAAAACCTTCCCTGCCTGCTCCTGGGAAGCCTTGGCTGGCAAAATTGTTTTGAGAAGTGATTCACTTCAACTGATACAAATGCTGTTACTTCTAAATATACACATTACTGGTTTTGGGTACCTGAAATTGGATCTAACCATAAACAAGAAAGAGACCTCTGTTAGAGAACACCTGTGCTAAGTGTTGTCAGTTGGAAGGTGACTGTAACAAATTTGAAGGGAAACTAAAATATAAATTAAAATACATCTTAAATTAAAAGCAGGACTTTTGTAAAAATAATGAGAAAATTTGAACTTAAATATGCAAAGGGCAGACAGGAAGAACAGCCAAACTGCATGAAACCAGGAGTTTACACCACCCAGCATCCCATCTCTGACTACAGTCGTAACAGGGAGTCTGGGAAGTATCCAACCCTGACATACCAGCCAGCCTCAAGCTGTTGGCTGCTCAAAAACTTCCTGGAAGTTGGTACCTTTGTATTTAATTTCTATTAATGGATATTTCTTCCAAAAATTAGTCCAATCACTTTCTGAATACACACATGTACACACATATACACACACACACACACACACAGAGCCTTCATCTGTAACCAGAATTATGGGTTGAATTCTCTTGCTGTGACGATAATGAAATCTATCTGGAATTTCTTCTTTGAGTTATCCTTTCGTTAAATTTCTTCAGTAAGTTAAACACACCTCTCTTGTCTGCCAAAAAGAACCCTGCATGTGAAACACCCAAAAATATAGATACATACATACAAGTATGTATGTATGTATGTATATAATTAGACATTCATAGCATCTAACAGGAATAAAGTGCATAGCTTAGCAATGCACTGTGTGAAGTAACATCTGTTTTGGTTTTTATCTTTAAAACATGCTATTTGATGCCCCTAACAGGAAGGACTCTGGCTTCTTTGACCATTATTGTTGTGTTCCTATTATTTTTAGTATTTCCTCCCATTTATTTTTGTTCCCTAGTATATGTACTATAACATTACATGCTGTGTCTTGTATTCTTCAATTTATGGTCCCCTATATAGCTATTTTATATACAAAAAATAGTTAAGCCATACTGTAGTGGAAGCTTGAGACAGACTGCTAACTTGCCTAAGATAACTCTTAAAAGTGTATCTCAGGCTACTGAGTTGACACGACGTTTTAGCCAGCAGAATATCCCCCGTCTCTTCCTCATCTGTTAAAACACTCCAAGCTCAGGCTGAGAATGTTTTAGAAAATGCTAAGATGTACCTAAAGATGCACAGTGCCAGGACTCCACTTGCTAAACTAGGACCATACTACAGATGGCTGGAATAAAAACAAGAGTTTACCAACATAAGCCAACAAGAGCACAAATGAGGAAAACACACTTACATTTTGAAAGTGACTCATTTTGTACAATTGTCCAGCCTTCATCTGCAACCAGAATTATGGGTTGAATTCTCTTATTATGACGATAATGAAATCTTTCTGGAATTTCTTCTTTGAGATAGACTTTCATGTGATCGTGGCATCTTTTCAGTAAGTTATACACATCTCTCTTGTCTGCCAAGAAAAAAAAAAGCATGTGAAACAGCTGGAAATTATGGCCTGTTTACTGCAATTATCTGTCATTAAACCCAAGATCCATTTTTTTTTCCAAAACAATTATTTTTTCAAAGGCACATGGAAAAGTATTTTTTCATGTCCCTAATGAAATGCTACATGTATCGAGGTGGATTTCACAAATTGCTCTCATTTTAAATCGGGGACCTCTTGGCTGTGGTTTTGGACCTACAATTCAAGTTACCCTTTGGGCTTGCAGGGGAGGAGGGCAAAATTCAGGCAGAGAAAACAAGAGAAAGCAATCACACACCAAAGCAGTCAGGATTTTATCCAAAGCATTATTAAGATTGTCTTACTGTGTAAATCACTTTGTGCATTAGAATTGCTTCAGTCTGGTCACAGCTGTGGAAACTGAGACCAGCAGTGTCATGATTTAAGACATGCCTGTTTGTTAGTAACTAGTCCAAGATACAAAAATTGAATACACAGAATGAAAACTGCAGTTTCATTCACAGAAACAAAAGTGGTAAAGCGAGTGAAGTTGGGTTTTGAGTTTTACTTGGAAGTTTAGACAATGACATTTTTTTATTCTGAATAAACACGGGAATTTATTTCATGCTCACTATGAATTACAACCATATAGACTAAGTGAGCAAGAAGAGAGTAGGCATACTAAGTGCCTACCTACTTCCTCAACAAGCTGTACTGGGACCATCTTTATCACCCATAGCAATTTGACAAGAAACTCTCCTTGGCTCATTGGTTACCAAAAAGTAATTTCTAAATAAAGATTCTATAAGTTATGCCAAAGTTCTGCAACAGTGGTTTCTCAAAAGATGTGAATAATCTACCATAGTGTATACATTTTAGTAGTAAGATAAACAAGATTTAATTCTCAGTCTATGACTTAAAAAAAACCCCCAAACATACTCTGCCTTGGCAGCACTGCAGCAACTGGACTCTTGTCTATCAGAGTATAGTTATTACGACCAATGCAGCTATCCAGGACAATCAGCTTCGTAGCAGAACAGGAAGCCATTCCATGGTCACTCGTGATTATGATATTAATAGTGTCCCACAAACCTAATGCCTTCAATTTATTAGTAAGGAAACCAATATGATTATCCACTTCTTCTAATACTTTGCGCATGTTCTCAGTGTCATCCGGTCCATACTTGTGCCCACTTGCATCTGGTTCTTCCCAGTATAATGTAGCAAAATTGACTACTGGATTCGAGCTGTTCAGCCACGCAACAATCTTCTCCACTCTCTCCTCAAACGTTACTGAAAAGTTATACTTCATAAAGAACTGAGGGGTTGTATCATTAATTTTTACATCAGTACCAGGCCACATTGCAGCAGCGCTTGCTCCATTTCCCTGTTGTTGATTTGTTACCCAAATTGGAACTGCCTCATTCCACCAGAAGGGATCCGAATCGTTGAACTGGGAAAACTTTTTCTTGGCATCTGCATCGTACATGTCATTAGCCACGATGCCATGGCTTTCTTCATATAAACCTGTCACTATGGTATAATGGTTCGGGAAAGTCTTGGTGATAAAAGCATTCGTAACTTGTTTTACGAGCACACCATCGGCGATGAACTCCTGAAGATGAGGAAGTTTGTAGGTTTCCAAGTAATCAGCCCTGAAACCATCAAAGGACACGAGGAGTAACCTGGATACCGAATCTCCAGCGGAGTGAGCACAACAGGCAAATATTCCAGACAAAAGTAATGTTAACATTGATTTCATTGTTGATACTTCAGAGTATTTCCAGCAGGTTATCAGATGCACCTGAAAAATTTAAAAAGGCATGTAACACAAATTAATTGTCCTGGAACCAGTTTAACTAGCTATGCATTATGTACCTCTTCCTTATAGACATTAACTGCAAAATAACCGGTCTAAACAACCACTGAGTTCAACAGCGTATTTCCCTACTGACTTCAGAAGTTTCTCATATATTGTCATACCTTCTCATAGATTTCAGAGCAATGAGATTGTTTTCATTCCAGACTAAATGAAAGGAAGAATTGTTTTCTATCTTTTAAGCAATTAATCCACAGTTTTGTGTGTCTTATTACAATTCTGCATTCCAAGACAATCAGTATTCTTCCTCGTGTTGAAGCACAAGCACCTGAACAAGTCCAGCTCTACATTTAAGAGTCCTGTGAAGATCTAAATCCTGCTTACATATTGCTGTTCAGACCAAAAGTTTGTCTTTTACTGTAATCAGTCTTTCTTTTTCAGCCTACCTTTCCTTTTCTACACCTTCCACCCTCTCAAGCTGCTGGAAGACTTCTGAGCTTTCCACGTTCCTATTTACTCATTCTTACTCTGTAGATGAAACTGCCAGGAGTAACTTCTGTTTTCCTTCTAAGCTGTTGTACATCTACCGTAATAGTATTTAAATGTGTTCTTTACATATCATATTTCTAATTCTAAAAAAAATTTTAAAATAATTAGTAACCTTAGCTATGAGGCAAGAATTTCTCACCAAGGAATACATTATGACTATTATGAATGCAACGTATGATTTCTAAGCTTTTTTCTTCCCCCTAAACTTATTATGTATGACAAAGGCACTTTGTTCAGGAAGGTCCAGAATTATTCTATAAGCCTTTAAGAAAGAGGAAGTGAAGCTCCAGGTTTCACAAAAGCTTCTGCAACATTATTAGACAGCATTTACTTCTCCAGAAAAGCCCCGCTCCAGCAAATTTCTCCTTTATCTCACTTGCACAAACTAGGGTGATTCGAGAAGGAACAACAGGTATCTTCCTAACTGCAGTAATATCTTCTGGCGGATCTCAACACTTTCCTCCCCACTCCTTAAAACTCTTTAAAAAGGTCTAAGTAGATTTAATAGTAGCTAAAGCTTTAGCAGTGAGAGGAATTCAAAGCTTGGGAAATCATCCCCACCACAACCAACAGTTAAAATTTCTTTAGAAGACACAAATGTTAGAAGGATTGTCAGAAACAGCATTAAGGTCTCCTCATACAGAGTTGTAATACACAACCCCTTTAAAGAGGGGATAAAAAGAAGAAATGAGATAAGCAATGGAGCAGAGGATCACCTGCTTCATGTTGTCAGGTGCTTTAAAAAGCAGAACCAGAGTTTTTCATAGCATGGTAAGACTTAAGACCACAATATGAGCTTTGAAATACTCCAAAGATGCCAAGCATTTGTGTTTTTACACACCGTATCACTGCCAACTATGAAACGCCATCAGCACTCAAACTACCCGCTCCTGAACCTCCCCACCCTCTCACCAGATGTCCAAGTCAGCAGTTGCTCAGCTCGGTGAGAAACGAGCTACCCTGGCCTCGAAAGCTTCCAGTTAAGATGCCGCCTTGTCATTACAAACTTCTCTGGCGAAGCGGACCGGCTCCCGCCGCGCCCGAGGGGAACCAGCGCCCTCACCCCGCGCTCGGGGCCGAGCACCT